AGAGCAGCATTTACCGAAATTATGTGATCATTATGAAGCTGCCTGATTGGGCACACTGGCACAGCTTTAGCTCCTCTCAGCTGCGTCCGAAACTGATAGAGCTACTTTTTTAAAATAGTACCCCCAATTCGGCTAGAGCAACTAGTCCGAATCGCAAATGCTGTGAGAGGCGGAAAGAGTGGGAATGGCAAACACATGGAGGCTTCAATTATGGGAAAGGCTATTTACGTTGAGCATGGAGCATCGCCCCAAATTTGAGCACACCACTGGAATAACTTTTATAGCAATTTTATGTCAACGAAACTATGCACATTTGAAGATGACTGTCAATGTAGCGCCCTGAGACTTCCCATCGGGTAGAAGAAGGCATTAAGTGGAGCTGAATGCATGTACCCCAGGGAAAGCAATGGGATTAAGCATGGGCTTGGTGCGAAGGTCAGCTCACGCGCACAAGGTCCAGACGACTCTCAAAGTAAACGCCAGACATCAGGTGGTCATAAAAATTATTGCAGTCAAAGCCTACTTATGGGCTACTGCAGCTTTGAAAAAGCTATCGTTTGCCTCCTCATGACTGTCTCATCAGGAGTCTACTCACCTTTAAGATGTGTATTCAACATCTGTATAGGCGATACAGAAGATTGAACAAGGGAAAGAAGATGACGAGTTGGTCTACGCCGGCACGTAGGTCGTGTCGATGCTCTCTGCGAGCATTATGTTCGAACTTGAATCCCACCCTCCTACAAGACACATTCCTCAAACCACACTAGGTTCAAATAGAATTAGACTCAGCGTCTGGATTGAATGGTGCTTCAGGCAGAGATTTTGATCTGTGTAAATTAAGTTTAACCTTTGAATGGATGGATGGATGGATGGTGTTGAGAAGCAGGGCTGCATCGCTCCACCAAGTCTTTTGGGTCAAGGACTGCCCTTCAATTTGCAGGTTGCGTATTCGTTTGAGGATGAATACCTCGACCCGACGTACATCGACGGGCTACGAAGGCACCACCTATCTCAACTAATCGTAGAATTGAGCAACCAAGAAGCAGAATACGGACACACTAGACCACTACCGAAACAAGTACGTCTCGTTGAAGGAGTGATTTTTTTGCCCTTCCAATTTACCGTTTCCCCTCACTACTGGGAGCACAAGTTGACAGATTACCTCCGACTCGGTTTACAGGCATTCACGCTCTTTACTACTGTGCCATGACTTCACGATGGCTGTTAGTTTTGATTAGTTGCTTTTAAGTTAGACGATTGCCTGTTTGCGTGGATTATGGTCTAGTGCTTTACGGTTTGTCATCGCAGCCCTCAAGACTTGCTTCCAGAGGGGAGACAACAATACTGGGGCAGAATTTGCATTCTCGACCTTCAGAGGGTCTAAAGGCTACTGACATGATTCGTAATTCAGGCCATTATTTGGGCGTTACAATGTTGCAATTCCGAGTTTCAACGCAATTGAAACCGAGCTGTAACCAGATCCCAAAAGTGCTGCACCTATCTTTTTCTTTCTTTCTTATGTTCCCTTTATGGGTTTTACTAGTTTTAATAAAAAAATTTGCAAGACGCTTTTACTGTTTCGCACTTGGAGGCGATGCCAACTTGTGGTAAAGTTTCCTGCATAGGAACTGTCAATCCCTTAATAAACTTACTGTAATGTG